TCACCCAGCCCCGGTTCCTGTTGGTGTCACGGTTCTGTCTGCAGTTTCTCTCCCTCTTCGCACATTTTACTCGAAGTGGGAAGAAGAAACCAGGCCTCACCTTCAACACTTCGCTTAGGAACGGTCTCGACTCCATGTCCAAATGGATCGTTTACAAGCTGTGCTTACTACAGCAGGAAACAGTTTTCCTAAACTTCCCACTGTGACCTGACAACTCTCCCTTCCTCCGTTTCCAGTGACATGTCCTCACTTCTGCGCCCGCCCCGCGGCGTCTGGAGTGTCCTGATTTCTCCGAACAGTCTTTGCCAAGCAAACCAGGCTGTCTCTGCCATGCTCCTCAAAATTCTAACAGCCTTGTCCTCTCCCTGATTCTAAGACCTCTTCCACATTTTCGGGTGTCTTTTGTGTTAACTCCTTTGGTACCAACATCTGTATTGCTTTTCTGTTGCTACAAACTAAGGTATGACGACACAGGAGTTTAAGACAGCACCCACTTACTGTTCCACAGTTTCTGCACATCAGAAGCCCAGGCAGGCTCAGGCGGGTTCAGGGTACTCGAGGCTGCAATCGAAGTGTTTCCTGACTGTTTTCATCCAGAACTCAGGGTCCTCTTCCAGGCTCACTGTTCTCATTGGCTGGATTGAACTCTCTGCAGTTACACAAGCTCCCCATTTCGCTGATGGCAGGTGGCCTGGGGTCCAGCCCTCTGTGGCCACACTCCATTCCTTGCACACGGCTCTCTCCGTCTTCCAAGTCAGCAAGGGTGCATCACATCCTCCATACTGGGATTTTTCATTTCATGTTAGTGTGTAATTTGTGGACTGTGATTCTGATAAGACCTCCCTACAATGAGCATTTCAAGAATCCCTTGTGCCTTGATGTGAGAGCATACCTTCCTTATGCCATTTTCTCCCTCTGGCCTCTGGCTCCTGTTATCAGTGGTAGCACCTCGCTCCTCTTGGCTTTCAGGAGCCCTGTGAGGGCTTCCTTTATGCAACCTGTGTACATATCTGCAAGTCTTGCTTTTATCTTATCAATGACAGATTACAGGCTGAAATGCCAGGCACTTACTTATGTGACATTTCTAAATTCTTCTGGAAGCAAATAATAAATGTACATAAACAAATACAAGTAATAAAATAAAATAGTCTTCCTTCTTTTCAATAGACACTTAGCCAAATTAAACTATGTATTATAATATTCGCTCACATTACGATATAGTAAACAGGAAATGTATTTTGAAAAGACAATATGGATGTCAGTTATTAGGTGTGAAATTATTTTTAAAAAATGCTCATGTTGATGTACATTCTAATACACACTAATCTATTAGTTTATTAATAATTAACCAAACTAAACAAAAACTCTACTTTACTTTGCTGCTTGAAGGTAAAGTCCCTCCAACCACCAATGACTAAAGAAGGCAAAACTTTGTTTTTAATCTCCTTAAATTAAGAGAATTTAATCAGAGATAGAGTGACAGGTTGATTAAAATCAGTACCTTTGTATAGAACTAGAAAAGAGAATATTGTCATGTTATGTATTAATTTATAAAGTAATATTTCATTCAAAGTAAAAAAATTATCAATCTCTGTTCAACCATGATATTCAAGTTTCCTGGTCTTTAACTCTTTCAAGTCTCATTATGTTGGATAAAGATGCAAATTTTGATAAGCACAGTACTGAGAAGTGTCAGTGTAGATGGATATATTTTATATATATTTGGACTGTTATCCTATTTATTCATGTTAAGTGACTTACTGAGTTTAAAGAAAGCTGTTTAAGCCAGAGTTTCTTAATCTGGAGTTTTGTGACATAGAAGGGCATTATTCCTTTATAATAACACAGACTTTGTATATGCTTGCTTTTTTTTCTTTTCCTGGTGGAAAGTTTAAATTATGTGTCAAATTCTAAAAGGTTTCCATTTGTGGTACTTGAAAAACATGACCGTAATATTTTGCACCTCATTCCATCAAAATGTGGAGTCTATTTCACACTTGAATCTGGCCGGTCCTTGTGAACTGCTTGACCTATGAACTTGGCAGAAGTGACACTGGGTGAGGCCAGAGCCAGGCCTCAGGAGGCTGCCAGATGCCCCCTTGGCTCTCCTGGAGTTCTGAGACCATCATACTATGGAGAAGCCATGGGCAGCAGGAGCATACACCCCACTCCCTGCAGTCACCCTAGCCAGTGGCCCAGACATGGGAAATGAAGATAGCTAGGAAAAAGGGTTTGAGGGATCCCAGGGGTGACTACCCGGAACCACCCAGTCAATCCACACATCACAAGAAAGAGTAAGTCAGTGGGGCTTTAGCTTAGGGTATATGATGGAGCAGCAGACACCTGGCACCCAGATCCTAATGCCCCACAAAAAGCTGAGTTAGATTTCCAATGTGGCAAATGTGCTAGAAAAGACTTTGGTCAACATTTTAATGATATTTTTCTTCTACTACTAAGTCAAAATGTAATAATATTGAGTTTAAAAAATGGATTATTTTATAATACTTTTGTAATTTTTAAAAACTGTTTTTGAATTAATTTTTTTATTATTATTTTTTATGTTGTATATTGATTGTTTTAGAGAGAAGGAGAGAGAGATAGAAACATCGATGTGAGAAACATCCATCAACTGCCTCCTGCACGCCCCCCACTGGGAATCAAGCCCACAACCTGGGCATGTGCCCTGACTAGGAATCCAACTGGGACCTCTCAGTCCATGGGACCACGTTCAATCCACTGAGCCACACCAGCTAGGTTGAATTTTTATTAAGTAAAAATTATATAGAGATTTTGTTATCGTTGGAAAATGTTGAAATGTCCAGGCTTATTTTATCCGTACAGGAGTGCACAGGTCTAAATTCATATTCGATTTCTTCAGGTTAGGCAGCCACGTTAGCAGGTACCCTTTGCTCGGCTCTATTACTGGCTGAAAGGTAGAAGGGGGATGCCAGGCGGCACTGTAGAGCCATGACTGACCTAAGCCATGCCAGCCAGGCTTTTTATTACAGGAGAGAACCAAGCCCTTATGTACCAAACCACTGGAAGTGAGTTTTGTTAAACATGCTCAAACATGATCTGTAACTGCACCCACTACCTTGAGCCACTCTCGTCTGTGACGTGCACCACCGCCCACCTGAATGGTGTCACCTGTGGGTGTACAGTGCACAGTCTATGTATGAAGCTATTACGTGGTGACTCTGACCAGAACTACTCTCCTGGAGCATGAACCTCCTAATGCTACAACCAGGATGCCACCTTACAGACAAGGAATTAGGGAAAATGCAAAGGCATGAAAATAAAGTGTGAAATTAACCTTAAAAAAAAAAAAAGAAAAATTCTAAATGAGTCTGAAGATTAATGATAATGTGATGTGCATACATCTCATTTAAATTTTTTTCTTTAAACACAATTAAACACCCATGAACCCGAGGGAGTCAATGGCTACAAGGCTGCAGCAAGCTAGCGTTATAAACAACCCACTTGGTAATTAACACTGCTTAAGCAAATATTAAAAAAAACACACAAAACTGCAGATTTTAAAAATCAGTTTTCATCACACTAATTCTAGAGAATTTATACTCTCCTGCCTTTTTTGCTTGTGTTTTGGAAAACCACCTCAGAATTCACATTAAATAAATTAAAGTTAAATAATAAGATCAACACGCCTCAAACGACATGGATAGGATGGGAGTCAATAGAATGGGAAAGTAGGCACAGCACAGTCCGCGTCGTTATCTGTTTTTCTAGTTAAATGTGATAGCTCTTCTTTGAATTTCCTAAGACCAGATGGTAAATTAGCTTAATATTTGGGAAATAAACACACTAGTGAATAGGAGATAGAGCGCATGGTTTTAGCAAAATAATTAAAATAGTACATTTTGTATTCTACCGGTCGACAGTGCATCTGCTTTCCCATCAGACATCTGAAATCTAAGTAACCCAGGTCCACTGGCGCGCAGACAACTGGCGTCTCATGGAAGAGGACCTGCCTGTGGCCAGGCCCGGCCAGTTCATCTCCTCCACCTTCTGACCTCGGCCATGGCCTTTCTTCCCCATGGGGGCCCCTGGAGTCACCGGACTGAGCCCCGGTGCCCGCTTCCAGCCCGCCTCCCACCTCCGGGGGAGGCCACGACCTTTTCCTGCGGCGGTGGGAACGCCGCCCTGTACCCCGCTGTTCTTATTCTTGCACCATCCTTCCCAGTCCCCCCTTCCTCCCAGTCCCAGACTGAGAAAGCACAGCACGAGAACCACCGCAATGCAATGGGCTGAAAGGGACGCGGGTGACTGAGGAGGATGGGTCTGGAGTGGCCCTCCAGGGCCAGGGGGCTAGAGGGGGGCAGGGGGACCACGCTCCCGGCCCAGCTGCGCCCCTCCGGGCGGATATGGCCCCCAAAGCCAGCGAGTCCCTCGAGCCTGGAAGACAAAGGAAAGCTCAGGGCCGAGCGGTGACGGGGTGGGTGGGAGCAGCGACTCGCGTGAGCACGGGGACGTGAGAACGCAGCCCCCGCCCCGTTCCCCGCCCCCGCCCCTCCCCGAGAAGGGCGGGGCCCCAGGCCGCCCTGAGAAAGGTCTCCCCGCAGCGCGAGCCGCGGGTCCCAGGAGGCCACACGCGCCCGGCCACAGGCGGCGACGGGCCCGCACGGTGGGGGCGGGGCGGGGCCGGGGGCGGGGCCGGCGGCGAAGAAAGACGGCGGGCCGGGGGCGGGGCCTGAGCGGACGGGCGGGGCCGCCGGCGGGGCGGGGCCACGAGCGGGGCGGGGCGGAGCCGGCCGGTCCGGGGCTGCTCGAGACAGTCACTGCCCTGGCGGCGGCGGCGGCGGCTGGCCGGTGGGGGCTGGGAGCGGCACGACCGCGCGGCCGGCGCAGCTGGAGCTGGCAGCTGCCGGGGCCGGGCGCAGGGTCCGGAGCCGGGAGCGCGCCCCAGGCCGGGCGGAGCCGGAGGCTGCAGCGGGAGTCCCGGGCGCGCTGGCGACGGCGGCGTCTCCGCGGAGCAAGTGTCTGAGGCTGAGATTCCGGCGGCCACGGCGGCGGCCGGGGCCGAGGTAACCGAGGCAGCCGGCGGCGGCGCGGCCGGGCTCCTTCTTGGGTCGGAAGCTCGGGGGCTGCGGCCGGGGCGCGGACCCGACCCACCCACGCACTTTCCAGGCTGGGACCCGGGGCGCCGCCGATCCCCGTGCTCCGCCGAGGGCCGGGCGGGGGCGGGCTCGGGGCGCGGGGTGGGGGCGCCGAGCGGGACGAGATCCGGAGGCGACCCCTCGGCGGGGATTGGCAAGGACGTGGGGCACCCCTCCCCCTTCCAAAGACACACCCCAGTCCCAGGGCGGGGCGGGCGGCCGAGGCGTTCCCAGCCTGGGCGAGGGAAGACCTCGGTGTGGCGGCTGCACCTCCGTCTGCGGCCCCTCCGAGGTGCCCCCCGGTGGCTCTTCGGGGCTGCTTGAACGGAGGTGCTTCTGTCGCCGGGAATCCCGGAATTCCTTTTGTCTGTCAGCCGAAGCCAGCGGCCGGAATCCAGGCAGACACCCGCCGCCGCCGGGCGCTCGCCTCCGGATCCCTTTCCTGCCCCGGGCGGGATTCTCCCCGGCGGCCGTCCTCCGTCCGCCGGGTGGACTGCGCTGCTCTCCCCCATCCGAAACTCCCCCCGGGCACCGAGCAGGGACCGACTCACGTTGTACCTGTGTTTGGATTTATCCTGCAAGTGAGATCACCCCCCCCACCCCCTCTCCTTTTTCTTTAACCCATTGCCATCCAGCCTCCGCCCAGGTAATCACCCCCTGGATTTTGCAAACTATCAACAAAGAAGTGGGGCTGGTGGAGTAAACAGAGCCCTTGACCGCCTGGGCTGTGCAAGTTAACAGCTGCCTAGCCGGCGCTCTTCCCCCAAGCTGGTGGCAAGAGCTCGGCTAGGTTTAAGGATGTCGCTGTCTGTGCGCCTCGTCTTTCCCCTCTTCACCAGTGAGGTTCTGAAAATCGAGGGTAACTTGATTACAGGGTAGCTCTTCGGGAAGCATAACCATAGAGGAAGAAAACTACGGAAAAAAAAAATGTAATCATGATGTTAGGGTCATTGTCCAACTTTTTGAAAATGCCCCAAATGAAATATATGGATTTGGGGGATTAACTGGTAAATTGTATCCTTTGATAAGTAAGCTTTTAACATATATTTCGCAGGAAGATAATTTTGTTTTATTCCAGGTGCTTGTGGAAATTGTTGATTACCCAGACATCTTTTAAGAGGACCCTGTGAACAGGTTCATTAAGAATCTGTCTTGAAAAGTACATTTTATGAATGCTTTGAATTAAGAGGTGTTAACAGTGGTCTATCATTTCTGCCACATAAGAGACCATAATCTAAAGTTGCATCCCTGGCAATTGTCCCTATGCCTGAAGAGTGACAGGATCTAGTAGTTTGAGTGTCTATCCTTCAACAAGAGGTATAGAGCCACCTACCTACTGCATAAATGTAATCTCTTTGATGACATTGACTATAATGGACACCTTTTCTGATCTAATTTTCAGATACAGAATTAACTCTTGGAATCTGGAGAAGCATTTTGTACAAATTGAAAGATTGGGCTTTCGCTCTAGTTTTCCAGATGTAGTCTTATCTGCGTAATTGAAGGATCCACAATCACATAAACTCACTCGTAACCATGGAGCTAAGTAACCCATCAGGATATAGAAGAAGTGCTGCTGAACTTAGGAACCAGGCAGTTGTTCACCAGTTCAACAATTAAACTCCTATAGTCCCTGCTGATAATCAAGGATAAAGAGCCAAATAAAGTCATGCACATTCTATTGACAAATGGACTCTGTGGCTGTTGAATTTTACTGTAACTGGTTACTCAGTCATTCAGTCATCTTAATATGCAAGTTACATCCTAATGGATGTAAAGACCTGTGTTGACGTATTCTGATGTTAGCTAATGTTGAAGATAAGAAACCTATTATGACTAATCCTTGGGAAGAGAAAGTCTGCAAAATGGCTCAAACGAGTTTACTGCAGGGGAAGCAGTTTTACTGTAGGGAGTGGGTTTTCCACAAGCTTCAGCATTGCCTCCAGGAGAAAACTAACTGCTGCAACAGCACTGTCAACACACCACCCCTCCTGCTGAATTCTGGGAGCAGTGCTAGTGTTGTCTCTGGAAAAGGAGCTGCCTGGGGTGTGCTGTTGGTAGGAGGGCCTGGCAGTGGCAAGACAGCCCTATGCACTGAGCTCTTGTGGCCAAGTTCACCTACCAGCGTGCAGAGAGGGTTACACCGCCAGGCCTTGGCCTTCCATTTCTGCAAAGCCCAGGACTCTGACACGTTGTGTGTTGGAGGGTTTATTCGAGGTCTAGTTGCCCAGATCTGCCACAGTGGACTACTCCAAGGATATGAGGACAAGCTAAGGGATCCAGCAATCCAAAGCCTCTTGCAGCCTGGGGAATGTGAGAGGAACCCAGCTGAAGCATTTAAAAGGTAACAATCAGAATGTCATGGTGGCCCCGTTTCTATGCAAAAATTAAAATGGTTTTTAGATTATTTTAGGTTTTTTGTTTTTTTTGAAACTGTGGATACCTGTACTACTGCTGTAAATTTGGGGATAATCTGTGGTTGTGAATAAACCTGTTTATTTGAATGTTGAAGGAAACAAAATTTAAGCTTTATTTGCACAAGGCAGGGATTACAAGTAGGTCTTCTATAACAGAATTTGAAGCACTGTAAAAACAAATTGTTTTTCAAATTAATGCCAGTTATTTATTTGCGTTTCTAATAGTGCCTGTAGTTGGGAAGGGGTGTCTGTTCTTATGGAAGAGAAGAACATTGACACGGCTGCATTTTTAAGAAACTAGACGTGGCCCAGAATTTACTCTCAGCAGTAGAATCTACTGTCTTTTTTGTTTATATTATTATTCCTTTAAATAAGAAAAGTTCTTTTTGAAACATTCTGAAGAAGATTTGCTAATGAGTTTGGGGATTATTTACCTATCAAGTAAAGGAAAGTTGAGTGATATTTTGAAATATGTGATCTCTCCAAAGGAATGATAATTTGGCATCGTTTCAGTACTTCTAGCGAGTGATACACAAGAAATAATAATTTTCCTAATCTTAATTAAGCATTTTCCCATGGTAAAAGGATCGGTTTAAGACGTGATTTAAGTTGTTTTTTAGAGTTGTTCCAGATTCAAAACGTGTCTTTAAAAAACAATTCCTTGAAGATAGTGTTTTGCATCTCACCCTCTGCTCATTGTGAAGCAGGCACGTTGTTGTGTTTGCTGTTGCCTCACTGCTGCTCAGTCCTCTGTCCATACCTGGCCCCCACACAGGAGGTAGTTCTTGGCAGGCAAAAGTTTCTTTCCCAAAGATGCAGGTGTACTCACTGGAGATTAGTGTGGGTGTGTGTCTGCCTCTGTCTGTGTGCATGTCTCTAGGAGTCATTTGGGCTTTGAATTGCTGTGACAGCGATTTTGGTCTTTTGATGTCCTCAGATCTAATGATGCGCAGTCTATGAAGTTTGGTGCGACACTGAAAATAATAGTAATAGTAGCAAGCACTTTGTGTGAGTCCCTGTTCTGAGTGCTGTACCAATATTAAGTCATTTAGTCTTCCTAACAGTCCTGTGAGTTAGGTTCTGTTATTAGTCCCTTTTCTTGGATGAGGAAACTGAGGCACAGCCTAAGTAACTTGTCCAAGGTTACAGGCTAGTAAAGGACAGAGCTGGGATTTGAAAGACAGGTGTATGTGTATAGGTTTGTAATCATAGACATTCTTTGGAAGTCTTAAGGGGAAGAGGGATAGCTTTGACATTTGTGGAGAAGGGGTGTGTGCCACAGTCGTGGTTTGGGTGTAGTACTCGGATTACCCCTGTACTTGATGAGTGGTAGTCCGAAGTGATCGCCATGGATAGTGGTACAGAATTCCAACAGGTGAGTGGTTATGGAAGTCAGCCAGAGGTTGTGTCTTTGAGAGGTGTGATACTCTTGTAGACCTTTGAGTGTGTAAGTGTCATCCAGTAAAACTTAGGGCAAATCTATTTCCTGTTGCTGTTAGCAGTCAAAGTCTGGGTTAAAAATACATCATTCTTAAATCAGTGAGGGCGTCTGCTGGGTGATGCTTGTGGCACAGAGGTGAGCTGCCAGGTTTGATGGACAGTGGTCAACATGGAGTCACTGTGTACGTATGGAATCAATCATGTAGTCTAATATAAAACAACTTTTTTGGAGGCTTCCAGTCTCTGTACATAAACAACTCTTTGCCTCTTGACTTAATGCTTTTTCTGAAGATACTGTCACTAGTTGAAGAGCTGAATTTGTTTTTCTTGTAAGTCATTTCACAAGCCATTTGGATTTATTGACACCTTAGAAAATCAGTTTCAAAGAGTATAGTCTGAGTTTAACTTAATCTACCTAATTATGTAATTTATTTTATTGGAATTCATATTAAATTTCTAATACTTTCAAATATTTGAAATCATGTCTGATAACTGTATGTTTTTTTTATATATTCTGATCCTGAGCAGATCTTTCTCTATAGTATCACAGATTTTCCTGAAAAAGGTCCTTTACTCAGTTGATTGTCTATTTTTGTTTTTGTCTTTTCCTGTGTGAATTTCAGTCATTAACTAATTGGAGAGAAATAAGAAGCAACTGGAGTGTGTGTAAAAACCACACCAGTGCGGACGATCTGACTGAGGAGCGAACACTGCATTCCCAGTCTGTAGTTGGTAGAGAAAACCTAGTGTTTCTGCCTGGACCATTGTGGGGCTCCAACTTCATCTCCTACTGGATCTGTCAAAAACCTGGGTCATGTTTTTTTTAATCATTAAGGTAATTAATGAAGTCATTAAATAAATGAAGTAATTTGGGTATTGGAACAACTGTTGCTGATAATTCATTAGATAGAGACTTCCTCTGTGAAGCTAGAAACATGAGAACACAGTTCGAAGTTAAAAAGAAATATTGTTGCATAGTCGATGGTATTGATGGCTTCTACTTTTGGACAGATAGTCAAGGTTTGATGGTGGGTTCTGTTAGTGACTGCGACTGACTTGTGAAGTAGGTCCTTCGGAGAATTTTAATCGGAATGTACCTTATTTAGGCAGGATAGATGTCATTTAACAGGTAGACCATGGGCAGAAGATCTTTCTTCTCAAGGAGTTAAGAGTAGTTTGAGGGAGGTGGACATCAAGGTAGCTAATTATAACAGAAGGATCCAGGGACCTGAGTTAGGGAAGGAGCGTGTGGGGTCGTGGTTTGGGGTCTTGTGCCTGGTTTAGCACAGCTGACAGTGGTCACTGAAGTCATTCCACCAGAATCTTCTTTCTAAACCTGCTGGCCCTGCGCCCATAGTCCTGGAACCCAAAGGCCTTTGTGGAGATTTAGGTGGATGCAGGAAATACAAACCTTTGTTCCTGGTGGATAGCATTCCTAACTTTTATTTATTTGTTTGACAATCTGTAAGACCAGGTGTGAGTTTTCTATGTGTGATGTCAATTTTCCCCATGTTGAGTGAAAAGATTTTGTTCTGTGCGATTTTCAGGATTACCACAAATTAAGTGTGAATGGAATAAAATTGTGATGAAGAACTAAGGATGAATGGTTCAAAACTTGAGAGTCTAGCAGAAAAGCTGTGTAAATGGTGAAAGGTAACAGTGGCTTGTTAGGCTTGGAAACTGGAAGTCTGAACTCTGACAGTTTGTGTGTAAGTCGGATAGGCATCCTTAAATGGTGGAATCTTCTTTCTGTTTATCTTCTCCTTGAACATTTATCACTCCTCACGTGTATCTCTTTAGATTTTAGCTTACTTTGTAGTTACTTATGCATATATCTTCTGTTAGCTCCTCTGTTAGGCTTATGCTTCTTCATGACATTATTCATGACTGATTAATTTTTTATATTTTCCATTGTGCTTTGAGCAGCACTTTTCATATAGTTATTGCTAAGTGAGTATCATTTGAATGCTTCAATAACTGCTACTTACCTACCTAGACTACGTTTGAATCCAATGGAGGACAGCTGAAGCTCATGCATATGAAAGGGGATTGAAATGTTTTATCCTTCAGGTCCGTTTTCAGTGCAGACCAGATTGGTGTAGTGATTATTAATTTATTAACCTGCTGTCTGTCTGCTCCTTAGTACGCATGCATATGGCATTGGTCCAGACAGTTTTAAGTGGCCAGATGTCTATCTTCTGTCTCAACTGGCTCCAGGTATCTTGGGTAAATTCAAGAACAGGTACTTCCTTCTTAACCTCCGTTGTAGGGTATTTTCAAGGCAAAAGATTCCCTTTCCATGATCTGCCTTGTATAACTAATACTATTTAAGATACCTGTTATCCATTCTTAAATATTGTCAGATTAAAAGAAAGATCTTGTGAAAGGGTCTTTACTATTCTCATCTTGAACAAAATAAATGAATAAATATAACGTTCATAATCAAAATTCCACATTTCCTTTAGTTTAAGATTGTCACTTTTCACTGAAATGTCTGTTGTTTCCAGCTTTTACTGTTAAATTTACTTTGGACTTTCATTCATTCAAACTCTCCTACTTTCTCTTCCTGAAATCCTTCCTTCCTACCCTAGATGGGCTTTCTCTTTCCTGCTTCATGTCTGAGCGGTGCATTCGTCTGGTACCTGTATCTTTGCTGAACTGCCCCCCCCCCCCATCACTTCTGCATGATGATGGCCCAGCACAGCGCTCTGTGTTCTACTGGGTAGTGTTGGCCGTGTTCACAGTGTCGGCTGGGCCATGCTTTTATTTATGTGCTTCTTGATAGCTCGGATTTTTTTTCCAGACCAGAGAGAGTCAAGTGAATGTTTTTCACCCAAGTCAGGAAACTTCACACGCATAACCAGACTTTTAAAAAAAATTTTTCCTTGAAAAAAGGAAATTTTGACACTATTAGGTTCTCATTCCTGTGAAGCAGTAAACTGGTTGGGCGTTGGCGGCTGGTCCGGATGGGCCTGCACACTCTCTGATCCAGTCCCCCACCCGCTCCCTCCAGCCCAGGCCTGTCATCTGTTCCTGTGCGCCAGCCCGCTCCCCGAGGCCTTCCAGACAACGGGTTTCCCCTTCCTCCGAAGAAACACTGTATCCTCACCTCCCCCAAACGTGCCTTCACGTTATCGCCAACGTGTGTTTGCAAGTGCTTCTTCCCATCACCTCGCCTCTTCCCGGCACATGACGTGTGACCTCCTCCGTGTGCACAGAACGTGTTGAGGTAGAGCAGCTTCTGAAGCGACTGTTCAACCTGGTTTTCGCCTTAGGTGGTATATTTATTTTTTTTCTATATTGATTTTAGAGAGAGAGGAAGGGAGAGGGAGAGAGAGACAGAAACATCGATGAGAGAGAATATTGACTGGCCGCCTCCTGCAAGCCCCCCACTGGGGATCAGGCTCACATCCTGGGCATGTGCCCTGGCCGGGAATCAAACCGGCGGCGTCCTGGTGCAAGGGTTGACGCTCAACCACTGAGCCAC